AACGGTACCAACCTTCTCCTGAAAATTCACGGCACACGTATTCCTAGACAAGTACATATTTTCTGATTGGTTCTTAGCTCTGATTGAGACTTTGTGCCTTCCTAGCTACATTCCTGGTATGCCCCATGACTTTAAAAAAGAAAAAAAAAAAAAGGCTCCTTTCCACTTAGATGTGAGCAAGCTACGAAAGAATGGTCTGGGGGTAAGAAATACGGTTGGGGGTGGAGATGGCAGAGAGAAGCTTTCACGAGAGATGGAGCTCATGGTCATTGTTTCTATTTTCTATCCTAGTGAAAAATTTGCAATTTCTGTATGATTACAGATTGAGTAAAGCCATGTTGTGGATTTCACAATTTGCACAGCTTATCTCATGTATTTTGACAGTTCTGTCAGGTTTCCGAGAGGTACGATTCCCACCCACCCCCACGCTTCTCCCCCACACCGAACAACACTCTCTGCTTCATCCTTCCCCTGCCCCCTTTTTCTGCTTAGAACTCAAAGACGTCTCTAATGGGTAAGGGAGTCTTGGTTGCTTAGTTCCAATCCCACCACCTACTTGCTGAGTTAATAAGGGGAAGTGCCTTTGAAGCAGCAGGCATTTTCCTTTTAGCCTCAGGAAGATTACGCTGGCCTATAAACCACACGTCCAGCTTTCTTCAGGCTGTGGTATGCTTTATCTGAGCCTTCCAAGTCTAGAGCGGGAAGAGAGAGGCTGCAAAGGGGCATATTCATGATGAAGACTGCTGGCCCAAGCAACTGTTGCATGGTAGCTCAATCTGGAGATGGCGAACCCAGAATTACCGATAGGCCCGCTTTTCTCACGGGGAGGTGCTGGCACAATAGGATAATGTCATTTCACAAAATAGGTTATGTGCTGAGTTAGAACCAGAGAATATTGTAATATCTTAATAGTGAAAACTATGGGCCAAAGTTTGGCCTATGGGTGTTTTCCTATCCCCTGACTCAGGACGCGAATTTAAAATAAAAGATTTAAATCTAATTTGTTTTTTCCTTCCCAGAGTTTAGTTGTGTGTGTTTTTTTGTTTTGTTTTTGTTTTTGCTATCTCTACTTTTGAATGATTCCCCAATCCTCTCTTGTCCTTTTTAAAATCCTGTATTACGTAGATTATACTGAGTTTGCAACAGATTCCCAGGCTGGGGCTGTAGCAGTGAACGCTGGAGGTATTAACAGGTTCTCATCTGTGGCGACGGCTTTGCGGCCATGGCTCCAGTGTTGTCCTGGGCTTTGGAGACAGAGGACACTGAATAATGACTGAGCTTGGGAGAGAATGTGCTACCAGGGACAGAGCTTTAAGCTGCTGGTTGCAATGAACAACTCTTTGCCAGCCGTTGGCCACAGCTATAGCCCTGAACAAATTCCCTTGACCTTCTGGGTCCTCATCTCTGAAACAGAAAAACATTCGAGCCTGTTGCACAGTGATTAAGTTTGTGGGTTCTGATGTTAGGCAAATTTGGAGTTCAATCCCAGTGTATTACCATTTCCTTGAGGTGTGGCTTTAGGAAGTCGATCTATCTCTCTAAGCTTTGGCTTCCTCATCAGCAAAATAGGGAGAGTAACGGGACCTGCGCTTGATGGAATCGCTGTGTGTATAAAATGAAGTCTTGGCTCAATAATGTTTAGCTTTATTACTTTCATTATGACTTCAAAAATGATATAAGTTCATATTAACAATCGAATATGTCTTAAAATAGAAGACGTACTTTCCCTCAAAATAGTATCTATGTTTTTATGAGAAGAGTTTATAAAGAGCCAACCTGGGATCACTTTTTACTCCTTTTAATCTTTCTGGTTTCTATGTTATTCATGTTTTTCTGTTAGTGATGGAGCAGAACAGAGATCCATTAAACCACTCACCATTCTCTGGTTTCCTCCTCCTTACACATTAATTTATCTGAAGCTATTCTGTAACCTCTTTTGGTTACAGTATAGCTTCAGAAGAGTTTATTTCTGGTTATATCCAACTGTGGATAGTATTGTTTTAGTTGTTTCAGACAGAAAGAAGAATTTCCTAGTTAATGAATTTAGAATTCTTCTCAAATAAACTTCCTCTACTTTTCTTTCTTTCTTTTTTTTCTTTCTTTCTTTCTTTCTTTCTTTCTTTCTTTCTTTCTTTCTCTTTCTCTCTTTCTCTCGTTCTCGTTCTCTCTCTCTCTCTCTCTCACCCTCCCCTTCCTTCCTTCCTTCCCTTCTTCCTCTATCTATCATCTATCTACACGCATACATTTATTTATTTATTTAAATTATAACCTTATAAAGTGCAAAACGCTGGCTTTTCACACAAGTTCAAGGCCTCAGATTGGTCGTAGAGACCAATTCGAGAGCTAAGGTCGAAGAGATACTTTCCCTGATGCTCTGTATTTCAAATGATCTTGATTTTTAATAACTTTTGCTTTCTCTTCCACTAACCAGGGCCTGAAGGGAAAAGGGTTTCTCAACCTCCACACTACAGATACTTTGGGTCAAGTAATTCTTTGTGGTGGGGGCCGTCCCATGCACTGTAGGAAGTTTAGCAGCATCCCTGGCCTTCACCTACTTGATTCCAGTAGCATCTTTCTCCCACTACTAGTTTCTGACCAGTTGGAGACGAAATGTCTCCAGGTATTGCCAAATGTCCCTTCGGGGTAGGGGGAGGTTTCCCCTGGTTGAGAACCACTGGTCTAGACCACAATGACCTTGCTCTGCTATAAAATTCCTGGCCTCCCCATCCCAAGTCCAGTGCTCCATCCGGGTTCAAAGAAATTCTCGTCCAAGTCTGGCCCAGCTCTATCTGACCAGCTGAGAACTGTGCCATCAAAAGCCACCATCAATTACAGAATCAAGATCAGATTCACGAGGTGGTGTTAAGAGACCTGGGTGTAGACTGGCCCCTGCCAGGGGCTCTGGGAATAAGTGTGGGCAAGTCCCTTATCTCTCTGGCACCTGGGGATGCAACACCTGTCCTAGCCACATCAAAAGGAGCTGGGTGGAGGAGGGCTGATTTGATAGATGGGAAAGCCTTTTCAAGAGTTAAAAGCCCTCTTCAAAGGGAAGTATTATAATATGTTCAAGCATGAATCAGGTGGTAAACCGGCCTCATTGCCCTAAGCAATTCTCTCCTAGGAGAAAAGGGAAGTGCGTGGGGGAACCTAACGATTGAGAAGGCAGGGAAAACTCACCCCTTTAATTCAATTTTTCACTGCAAACTGAGCGGAAACACCAAGCTAAAACTCCAGCATTTTCATCTGGCCCTGTAGACCTGGATGGAATGTGTTCCTGAGGTCGCTCCAGCCAGAGCCCTGAGCAGCCTGTCCAGCCTGGAGGCAGGAGATGACTATGACTCTGCAGCTTGTTATCACTCTTTTCAATCAAAAGGCTGTTTGAGGCTTTCTGAGCAGAGGGGGAAGTTTGGGAAAAGGAATGGTGGGCTAGATTCTTGCCTTCAGCTAAAAACCTTTTATCTTCAGACAAGGCATAAAGGGTGACCTCAGAACACACCCCTTCTTCGCTCTTGACTTTCCCACCATTTTCACTCACTGGCCTTTTGTCCTGTCCTGGCCTGGTTATCCTGGTTATGAATCTCACTTCCACTTGCCTTACAGGGGGACCAGGGAATAAGAAAGTCTCCCAGGGAATAAGGTTAGAAAATTCAGCCATCGCAGCTTCCCTCATTGCTTTTCGAGAAGAGAATTTGTTGACCTCACTCCATCATTCTGGAAGTGAATCTCTGCAGGTATAATTTTATATTTACCTGTATATCAGTATTTGATTAACATCTATCTCTCACATTAGACAGATTTCATGAGGGGAGGAATAAAGTTTCTTTTATTAATTGCTCCACTCCAGTACCCAGTAATAGGCACTACTCAACAAATACTTGTTGAATATGTGAATATTTGGGGTATGGAGATAACTGTTGGAATTATTTTAAGCAGGAAGAGTAGAGGATGGATGTGTTTTAGGAAAAAAAAGTCACTAACTACTATGTACTGAGCACTTACTATGTTCCTCGGCTCTATGCCAATCTCTTCATTTCCTTACTTCATTTAATCCTCACAGCGAACTCTGTGTCTTAAGTTTGCAAACAAAATCACGTTTTAAGGACAGGGATAGGAGTTAAGTTTTAAAGTTAGCACAAAAGGCAAATATTGGCATAATCGCAATGACCTAATTTAAACATTTACTCGGATAAGATACCTTTCGTTGCTTACTGACCTTGGAATATATATGGCCACTGGGTGGAACGGAAGGGGACTTATAAACTATCCTCTCCTTCGCAGCACCTATGTTTGACTCATAATTTGTTAACTCTGATGTGACTCCACTTGACCCCACGTTTCAGGGATGAGAAAGTGGGGCCATGAAGATGAAAAGCGAAGGGGCAGAGTCCACCGATGTCCAGTGGTCCCTGCAGGCGGTCGCAGGGGTGGTCCAGACTGAGGCAGGGGCTGGAGAGCGGGGTCCTGAGGCGGGGACGGGATCACGGTGGGGGTTCCTTATTCCTCATGGACCCAAAGGATAGTGAGCTGGACCCCATTCTACATCTCCCCCTCATTCTCAGTCTTTCCCCACCTGGTCACTCACCTGCTCGTAGGGCTCGGGTTTTCTTTACTCACAGTTACCTCCGTGGTATCTGAGTTGCTAGGTTACCCGCCAAAGTCAGAAGGCGGGACTCGGCATCTGACTGATTTCCCTTTTAACCATTCAATAACTTGTTCCGCTCAGTTCGTCCCACCTCCTGAGGTCTGATCAATCAGAGGCACGATCTCTCTGACCCTCTACCAATTGAGAGACTCTGCACTCCCTCTGGGTTGGGCTGAACGAGTAAGGCAGAATGGGAGGACAAGGGGGCGGAGCTTCTTTGGAAGGCGGGCAGAAAGTCCTGCATAGGCAGTGGGCGAGAGCTGAAGAAGGACGTGAGGCTTGGCCAATCAGAAATCACCAAGGCAGCTTAAGTAGCCAACAGGCCGCAACGAAAGGGCAACGGGGCGGGGCCGGCGGGGTTGCGGGGACGGTCGGCGGCGGATGCTAGAGCTGGCGCAGCTGCCTTGGTGGCAGTGGCTGAAGTGGCGGCGGCGGCGGCAGCGGCTGCAACAGCTCCGGGCTTGGGGCTTTGACGGAGGCGCCCGCAGTCTGGGCTGCACGGTGCTGAGCCCGGCGCGCGGTCCGGGTTGCTGGGGCGGCGCGTGTAAGAATCTGGGGGGAGCGAGGGATGGCCTGACGGAGAGGGCAGGGGTCAGGGGCCAGAGGGCGCGAAGTAAGGGGTTGCAGCTGGGTACCCGAGTCTGAGAGGCGGGCAGGGCGAGGCCAAAGGGTCTGTGGGGAGGTCATCGCTCTCATCTCTCCCTCCAGCCGGGGCTTTGCACCTTCTCTCTTCGTCCCCCGCTTCCCGGTGCGACCCCCACGCGGGGCCCAGACCAGGCTGGGAGCACGTGGAGCTGGAGCCCGCACTCCCCTTCTTTCCCTTCCTTTCTCACCTGCTCGTTGCCCTGGCGCCCTCGGGCGACCCCGAAAGAGACTACTGCCTGGTCAGGCTGCCCGAGCGGACAGCGTAGCGTGATGGCTGCCGGCCCTCTCCAGGGACTTGTCCTCAGGGGTGACCCATCCCTTCTGGGTCCTCTCTAGAGGGAGAAGCGAAGTCCGCGGAAGGAGCACTGAGCTAGGACTCAGTAGTCCCGCATTGTGTGACCTTGGGCGGGTCCCTTCCCCACCCTGGGCCTCACTTTTCCCTCTGACAAATGATGGGTTTGAGTAAATTCAGATTGCAGGACTGGTTCTGGGAGGAGGTATGGGATAATGGTTAAGCAGGGGCAAGAGAAGGGGAGGTCCCTAAATTCAAACTGCCTGGGTCGACATCTGGCTCTACTACTTCCCTGCTTTTTACTTAGAAGAGGCAGGTTAAGTTAACCACGCTAAGCCTCAGTGTTCTCATCTGTGAAGTGGGGCTTTCTCAACAGCGGCACTGTTGACATTTAGAGCTACTTATTTCTTTGGTGCAGTGAGTCTCGCCTGTGTGTTGTAGGATGTTTAGCAGCATCCCTGGCCTCTACTTCCTAGCCTCCCACCCCCTAGCTGTGATAATCAAAAATGTCTCCATACCGTGCTAGTGTCCCCTGGGGAAGGAGGTGGTAATGGCAAAATAACCCCAGTTGAGAGCCAAAGAGCTAAGACAATGCATGCAAGCAAACAGTCATATATATATAAAACAGTTAAAACCCACTAGCCATTATAATGATAACGATAAAATTAAGAAACCTCGATGAGTTGAAAGGGTGAATAGATTCTCCCACCTTCGAGATCAATATAGGAGAGAATGACGAAATGTTGATAATTGTCAAAGCTGAATGGTAGGTGCAAATTCATTTACATAGTCTCCACTTTTGAGTATGAAAATGTCTGTGCTAAAAGTTAAACCAAAAAGAAGAAAAAAAATAAAACATATAATTCTTAAGACAGCCAAATGGTAGTGTCTCATTTGGGATTTCCTCTTCTATCTCCCTACTACTGAGATTTGAAAGCAAAAGAAATCCCCAGATCTGGAGAAAAACAAAATCTCACCGGAAGTTTGCTGGGCAGAGAGATACAGGCTTAGCAGCAGGCAGAACGGGGCTCACTTTTGCTGCCTTGTTTAAGATACTGGCACACAGGGACCTGCTTAGGGTTATTCTGATGATTTGTGAAAGGTAAACGGTGGGGTTGCCAATCGGTGGGTTATTCTGGAGGCAAAGTTGATTGAGCCCAGAGCCACGGCTTGAAGAAGGAATCTGCTGTTGTTTTCAAGTTCAAAGGTCTGTTGTCAGATCTGCTGAGTCTTTGCTTTTCTTTTGGTCCTCCCCAGCGGAAATGGGAATGTGTATAAATAGGCTGCTTCTGAGTGTTTGAAATTGGGAGCTCAGAATGAGTGCTTTTGCTGTGTGACTCTGGACGTCTTTTAATAAAATACTCCAGTCCCCTTCCCCTGCCTCCTCAAACAGCCAAATCTAGAATGCTATAGGCAAGTGTAGGTGACCTGGCACACTAACTCTTTAGAGGTTACTGGAGCTAGGTGCCGCCTGAATACCAGGGCTCGGACTTGGCAGAATTGTAGTCTAGTGGCTAAGGGCATGGGGCTGGAGCCAGACTGAGAAGTTCAAAGTTTGGCTTTCTAGCTGTGTGTTCTTGGGCAAGTTACTTAACCTCTCAGAGCCTAAAGACTCCCCCTCTGTAATGGAAGATATACTCCTACCTATCCATTATGAAGTTTCAATCAGCTTTACTTAAAAATTGCTAGAAGAGTTCTTGGTACATAGGAAGTCCTCATCGAGTATTAACAACTATTATTTCATTGGTTGTGTTTTTTTTTAAGTCTTTAAAATCTTTAGGATAAAGACACAAACAAGGGCAAAAAGGGGTGGGGGTGGAACATATTAGTCAAAATCTCAATCTCCAGGCATAATTACCATAACTTTTCAGTTTGGTTCTTGCAGTGTTTTTTTCCCTCATTTTTAAATTTTTAATGCTATTAGACAGCAATTCTCTCTCTCTCTCTCTCTCTCTCTCTCTCTTTCTCTCTCTCTCTCTCCCTCTCTCTCTCTCTCTCTTTTTTTTTTGAGATATAACTCACACCATATAATCCACCGTTTTAAAGGGTACAACTCAGGGGATTTTAATGTATTTGTAAGATTAAGCAACCATTGCCTCTTTCTACTCCCAGATCATTGTCACCAGTAGTGGTTGTATTTTAATAATTGTCCTTCTTTTTTTGTCCCCCAAACCCTAGAAGATGCCTCAAATGGAGGAGTTTCTGAGAAGCACCTCTGGGCCAGTGGCTTTGAAAGGGAGCTCAAAGCAGAGACTATTTATAGCCCTGGACATCGCATCCTGAGGGCTGCAGGAGAGGAGAACATGGCCATGAGTTTAGATGACGACGTTCCCCTCATCCTGACCTTGGACGAGGGTGGGAGTGCCCCACTGGCTCCCTCCAACGGCCTGGGCCAAGAGGAACTGCCTAGCAGAAGTAAGATGGTAGGGTGGGCTGGTGGTGGGGGGCGGGGGGCAACTTCAGGTGGTGAGCTGTGGGCTTGGTGGTTTGATAGTGGAAGCGTGTACCTGAATGCCTGACCTTGCATTTGACCCCTAAGAGCTGACACAGAAACTACCAGGAGATTCTGGGGGCCTAATTCTATACCCCCAACTTAGGGATGCTTCAGCACCTTGTCTCCCTTGCACCTGAGGCACCCTGGCTTTGCTTATGGACACTTGGTAGGGACCTCAGGCACACCTGCTTCTTGGCTAGCTTCCCTGCCCCATTCCTTGCTAAAAATAGAAACAGATTTCAATACCGGCCTCCGTCTGTCCTAATCTGCAACCGTTGGCAGGAAAGCAGAGTTGACTGCTTCTCCCTGCTGGGCCTCTGGCCCCGCATTGCCCAGGACAGAGTGGAAGGGGGCAAGCATTTGTTGTGATCCATTGATTTGAGGCTTTGGGGTTTTGCTTTGTCTTCCTCTAAACCGGAGCCTAGCACAAAGTGAACCCAAGAGAGGTTGTGAGCTTTAAATTTTTTAAAGTTTAAATGTGTTTCTGGCAGAACGATAGGCCTTAAAAACCTTCCTGGTTCTTGTCCCAAAGCCATTTGCTTCATTTGCTCAGGCCTTGGGTCCAGGAGAGGCTTAAAATAACTTGCCTTTTTAGGGAGGGCTTAAGATGGCAGGGACTAGCCCTTGAGGGTCTCCTTAGCAAATAGGTGACCCACCCGCCAGCCATGCTCCTGAGCCAGGACAGAGGGGCTTCGCTGTCTTCCAGGTCACAAGTGGAAGACACTTGGGTCCGGGGAAAACGAGCCTGGCCCTCCCATCTCTGTTGTCCAGAGGATGCATTTGGGTTGCAGGGGGCTCAGTAGCCTTCCCCTCGGAGGTGGCGAAGAGAGCAGTGTTGTGTGCATGGGAGGGCAGTGGGAGGCCTGGCTCCCATAAGCTGGCCTCCCCTTGCTTTGGCATGTCACACGTAGGGTGGCAGAGCTGGGTGGTCCAGGAGGGTTAGAATGTAAATCAGATTTTTCCCTAAGAGCTTTGCAGGGCTCAGAAAGCAGTGACTCTGATTTCAGGCATATGTCTCAAATACCCAAGCTTAGTGTTAGGCTATTTCTTATCCAGTATCTTAACTAAGATTTTTTTTTTTTTTCTTTTTTTTGGAAAGTTAGGTGGTATTATCCCTGCTTTACAGAGGAGACAGTGAGTCAGAGAAGTTAAGTAACTTGCCTGGGGTCACACAGCCAGCAAGTGGTAGGGCAGAAATCCGAACCCAGGACTGTCTGGCTGCAAAATGCTTTCCCCTCCTCCTTCCTTTTATCCTCTCCTCCTGCTACTCCCCCTCCTTTTCCTCCTTTTTTCTTCACAGGCCCTTCACAAATGTGCTCACTGGCCCTTAGCCCCTTACATGTGTTATCTCATCATATAACCTCAAGATAGAGTTACTGTTATCGTACGCATTTTAGCAGAGGAAGAAACAGCCTCAGAGAGGTTAAGTAACCTGTCCACGGTCACACAGCTAGTAAGCAGCAATGCTTCTCTGACCTTTCCTCTCACGCCACTGTGTAAGATGCTTTGGGAAAAGGATGTAATGAATGTGAAACAGTCTCAGCTTCCAAGTAGCGTACTCCCTAGGATGAGGCGGGGTGGGGTCTGTCCGTGGCCAAAAGGAGAATGGACGGCATTCCATTCTCCTTTGTGCTTGACGTGCTAAGGGCATGGGTCATTCTGGAAGTGGGCTCAAGATTCTAAATCAGCATCGCACTCATTGTCATGTGCCACTTTTAAGTCCCTCCAAAGTATCAGAGCTGATGGCAGGGTGTCCAGCTCTCCTGCGGGATCAAAGTGGGAAGAAAAGCCTCGTTTTGTGTCAAGATCAGGTTTTCAACCGACGACGGGGCTTGTTGAACAGGATATAGACCGAAAAGACAGTCAAACTAACCTTGGATAGGCCACTAGTAGGACTGTCCTTCTCTTGGCAAAGCTGGCAGCTTATTTTGGTTTGTTTCTTAAGAAAAAGAAAATATAAAACTGACAGGGTCCAGGGAAAGCGTGCTTTTCGCACAGCATGTTAGTGCCTCAGTTTCCTCTCTCGCCCTCTTACTGGGACGTTTGCTAAAACCTCTGAGAATGAGTGGGTGTAAAGCACCAAGCCTGGCTGGGAAAACACGGCGTCTATAAGGAAAGAGGCCTGCTCTCTCCTAGTATGGGCGTTTGTTATTTTATGCTCAGATTTCGGCTTTGACCTTCTACCCAGTGTTCCCTTTCCCTATTGTCTGAGCACTCCGTCTAAAACACAGATCTGACCTGGTAATTTCCCCAACTTGAAGCTCCCCAGGACGTTCTGGGCCCCAACAGGATGAAAGCCAAGCTCCTTAGGCCGAATGCGGGGCCTCGCACGTTCTAGTGCCTTCTTACCTGATCGGTCCCATTTCCTGCCTGATCCCACAATGTCACAATGCTTCTAGTCCTGTGAATTCCCTGGTTCGTTCTTAAACTTCTCCACCTTGCTGGTAACTCAGTCTGGAATGCCTTTCCCAGCTCATGAGCTTCAGTACTGTCTTGAAAATCCTGCTGATAATCTCATCTCTTTGAAGCCTTCAAGAACCATCTCTTCCTGACGGTGCTAATTACTGCCCTTTTCTGCTTTGGTATCTTCATTAGGCTTCCATTATTACAAGTAGCTTACTGTGTGGTAATTACTTATTTAACCATCTGATCACCAGCTAGGCCCCGAGTTCCATTTACCTTTGTATCACTTAGCTCGATGATACACTCAGCAAGTCATGGTCAAAATAAAGCTCATTAGGTTTCTGGGTCCTCACAGCTCATGTCTGAGGGTCCTAGGAGGGTCCTCTCCTAACCAGGGATCCGAGTCTCATTTCTCCCAACAGAGCTGATGGTCCTAGAGGCTGGCTTCATTGCCTTAGTCTGTGGCTGGCCGATAGCCTTGAGGTAGTAAGGAGTTGGCAAGATGAAGACGGAGGTTGTCAGCAGAGTCGGCAGCTCCCTGGGCCTGAAGCACTGAGAACTAAGCACACTTTGTAAGGGCGCGAGCCTCAATCGAGCCTTGGCCTCACCTTGACCCAGCAGCTGTCCCCGGTGCCTCTCTCTGTCTCTGTATCTACAGAGTTCTTGTCTTAGTCTGCTTGGGCTGCTGTGACAAAATAACCACAGACTCGGGGGGCTTTAAACAGAAATGTATTATCTCACGGTTCTAGAGACGGGTAAGTCCAAGATCAAGGTGTCCGCAGGTTTGGTTTCTTCTGAGGCTTCTCTCCTTGCCTTGCAGACGGCCACCTTCTCGTGTTTCTACATATGTTTATCCCTCAGTCTGTGCGCTTGTGCCCTAATCTCCTCTTATAAGGACACCAGTCAGATCTCCAAATATAGCCACATGCTGAGGTCCTGGGGCTTCAACACAGGAATTGCAAGGGGACACAATTCAGCTCGTAACTCTCCTGCCGTTTGCTCAGATGCAGGTACCCAGAAACCTAGCTGTCTTGAACTGACCTTTGATGCTATCTAGGGCTGACCTATGCGAGGCGTTATCCCTGCAGGAAACTGGAGGTTTGGGATATTTTTCTCATATGGGCAAGAATGGATTTTATCCAAGACTCAGACATCTCCGGGCTATAAGAATGGCTGCCAAAATGTTAATGAATGACTCACAGGCAGAAGATGTCAGGTTTGATAAAGGAGGCAGGTATGAGCAGAGATATTTAAAGCCTGGAAATTAGGAATAACCTTGAACACAGTCAGCGGGGCTGGCCTTTGACAGTGCAGGTTAGCGAGAGCCCAGGGTCTGCGCTGGGCGTCCAGCAGGAGCCCAGACCGCCACCAGACACAGTTTCTGGGGGGAATTCTGGTCATGCTCAGCTTTTGCCTTCTTGTTGCTTTTAAACCTGATAGCGGCCTAAGGTGGGCCTGTACCATATGCCTTCTCTGGGGACAAAAGGGGTTAAGGGCAAGGGAGGTGGCTGAGACCTTGAGGCGGGCACTCAGTCTCATGGGCTACTTTGGGGTTGGTGGTTCATGGTTTGCAGGTGACACACTGCACAGGTGACAATGCCGAAAGTAATAAAGCAGAGGAAGACCTCTCTCTCCTTGACTTTGATGCCTCGTATGCCATTAAGAGTTCCCTGGGACCAAGTGTGGTATCTAGCAGTGTCCCCTGGCAGGGGTCAACATGTGGCAGTCAGTCTGGCTCCCTTTCCAAAGTGTTCATGAAGCCAGAGCCACTTGGCACCAGGCTCAGTCAAGGTGGGCCAGAGCCCTCGACCTTAAGACAGATGTAGCCAAGATAAGCCGGGAAAGAAAGACCAATAGAGCTGTATATCCAACGGCTATCAACGCCGCGGTGGGCTCCATTGCATAAATCGGTGTCCGCGGTTCTTTCTGTGACTGAGCGTCCTCAGCATACTTGCATAAGAGTGAAGCCCCAGAGACTCGCGTAGCTCTTGTCACCTGTGATACTCTGGGTGGTGGAGTGGTTAAGCCTGTGGGCCCTGGGGTCAAGCCATAGGCCTCCCGTGCTGGCTGAGCCCGGGGTGTTGGCCTCTCCGAGCCTCAGCCGCTTCATCTGTCCAGTGGGATCGTGACAGCATCTCCCAGGAGGGCCGTTGCGGGCATTCAGTGAGATCACGTGTGTGTGATGCCCTTGGTAAGTGCTCGGCCAGTCCTAGGGGGTATTGTCATGGCCAGAGACTGGGCCGCTTCTCTGGAATATCGTGGCACACGAGCAGGGGTCCTGAACCTAGGCCAAGATCCGAATCGTTTTTTTTGCCTCATTCCTGGCACAGCAGGTGGCCACCGCCAAACCGGCATGTGGAGGCAGCATGGCAGCGGGAGACCACACAGCAATTAGCTTTTCACTGCCTCCCAGGGAGCATGGGCATTTGGCTCCGCCGGAGTCATTCCCCTGGCTCTCGTAGGGCCTCGCCAAGGCATTGTACCGGGTGTCACCCACCAGGCCGATGGCGGCACCGAT